ATGCTGACAGGGAGGCAAACTGCAGTTATTACACTTCGCGTTTTGAAATATGTGTAACTGTTCATATAAAACCCACACTGCTCAAACTTCCTTACTTTTCCCAAAATTGGTATTTTTATCTTTTTTTTCATTAACAAAATACATCTCACGTACCCCCTGCAGTACTCCAACGTACCCCTAGGGGTCCGCGTACCCCCATTTGAGAACCACTGTCTTAGAGCACTGGGTTTTGGCTTCAGATTTCCCACAATTTTGTAAAAGTGTGTGTTAATGTGTCTATGGCGTGTGTGTGGTTGAAAGAGAGTGGGTCTATATGATTTAAATTATATGTACAGTATTATATGTGTAGGTATCATCATTGATATTAGTTATAGCATCATGTATTCACCAAGTTAACTGCTGATATGTGATAACACTACATGACCAAATCTGAGGGGAAGAGTATCTAAAAATCTACAAACCAACAGTTTATCGAGATTATCTTAACCACTTATTTTTGAGGTAAAACTCAAAGTGATCATACCACAATACACATATAGACAGTTCAAACCAATATGATAACTACGTTAGGTCAAAGCTAAGCATAAATTGGGTCTGTAAACTGCAATGGATGGTTTTTAACAGACCAAGATTAGTATCAGTTACTTATTTTTCTCTTCCACTTATATTCACCAACTTAATGGATTCTTTAAATCTGTCTCTCTGGATTAAATATTCAAGATTCAAAGGCTTTATTTATCATAAATGCACAATAGCTACAGCGTAGTTTTGGCAAAGAAAATCTGAATACCCAGGCTCCTCCAACAATGTATATTGTACATATACTTAAGACATGAAAAGAAACAAAAGTAGTGCAAGAAGAAAAATATATGAACGATTGCAAGAGACACTGTGGTGCAAGTAAAAGGCAGACAAATAAACGATATACTTCTGAAATAAAATAAAAAAGATCAACAGTAAAATGTTATTACTTATACACATGGCCAAAATCATGAAAATATTAGTAACCATAAACAGTAATAAGGATATTCTGTGTGTTTGTGTGAGCATGTGTACTTAACATACTGTTAGTCTATGAGTGCTCTGAAGTGATATGTCTCTTGTGCGTGTGTGTGTTCATTTTGCTGCTCTCAGTACCCTTGTGTTTGTGAGCATGTGTGTTCTGCACCGCTGCATGTGTGTGTTCTCCGGCCCTGACGATAAATGAAATAATCAAATGTTTATGGTGCGTAAAATGGCAATTGGCAGCAGTGGTGACCCTGCGTGTCTGTGAAAGTGAATATGTGTGTGTGTGTGTGTGTGTGTGTGTGTGTGTGTGTGTGTGTGTGTGTGTGCACGCAGCCACACTGTCAGATGCAAGGTTGTTATTAACAATGCAGAGAAATGGAGCAGAGGCAGCAAGAGGGTGTGAGAATAAGCAGTAAAAGTGAGAAATATGCATATGTTTTTTATCTACTACACACACACTTGTGCAAACACTCGACAACAGTACGAGATTATTTCAGCAATCTGTAGGTTCAGTTGAAGGTCAGAGGCAATGCGTGGCAGGTTGCTTAGCTACGGCAGAAATTAAAATAGGTTAAAATTAGACAGGGATTTACAATACGCTCTGACTTCCAACAGAAACGTGGAGTAACTGCAGTATAACCTTTCCCGGAGACTATTACGTTTAATCATTTGTGGTTGTATGTGCTGGAGACGGCGTGAATGAGTCACAAAACCACATTAGCTTGACAGGCATTTGAGTAAACAGAGAGCACACTTAAACAGAGCGGCATTCCAGTTCAATCAAATAAGTGACAGCTAAATTACCCACTCGGTGCAGCTACACCCTCTCCATGCTCTTTTTTTATCAATCAAAGTGTTTACAGGCAGATTTGTAGTGAAGTGGGAAAAAGCCCTTATGGAAGAGAGCTGCAGCTTTATGACGACTATGAATGTTAGATGGAGTGGAAATCACACCAACACGTCTTGAGTCAGCAAAACTGCGAGTAACAAATCACATATAGTCTGTTTTTTGTGGTTAGGAAACTTTTTATATGCTTTTGCACCACTTTTTTGGAAGTTCATTTACAAGTTTGGAGAAATATGCAGCCATTAATTTAGAACAAATCTGCACTTTATGAGCATCTCTCCAATATAAGCCATTGCATGAATATAACACAATATTTTTTATAATTTCTGTTTAACTATATAACTGATGATCAATTTCACAGTATATCATAAGCAGGATGTTTATAAAGCGGTATAAAGTCTTTACTTGTGTTTTTGGAATAATTAGAAATTAAATCAAATCAGTCTTCACTCAAACCTTACCTTAATACAAACAATTGTGATAGTCCAACATTTGTTGTGGCATGATGTATAAAATGTTCGAACAATTATTATATCCAAGGAATCTTTGGATATGATTAAACATATATTGTTTCATGTCATTCAGTCCAGCTAGTCTGTTTATTCATATCAATCAAGGCTTGATAAAACTGAACTGCTTTCGTTTTCCATCTTTAACCACAGCAATAAAACAGCTTCGCTTGATGTAACTGTTACCTTTGATACTGTCAAATCATGATATCTTCATCAAGAAATGTAAAGATTCAGTTGAAACTAAGATGTTCTCAAAAGTTCCACAACAAGTTTTTAATAATGTCGCAAGTGGGAGCATGTACAAATTAAAAACACATAATATCTTATCATTCATATGCAGATGATACACAGCTATTATGTCCTATTATTATTTTAGTCCTGTAAGCAAGCTGCCAGATTATATTGATTACATCAACCACAGGATGCTGTTTTTTTTACAGATAAATATCAGGTTGTTTCTAGTCTCTACTTTGATATCTTAACTTTTAAAGGAATGGTATGCTCATGACACTCATTTTTAAATAATTATCATCCGATAAAAAAGACCAGTTTCTGCCAGTCTTTTTTTTAATCCGATGACATTATCAGTGATTTTAAACTGATTAATTACCGAAATAACACCATTTTACCGGACGTGACGTAAACCATGCGTTTGGTTTCGAGGACACGTTGATGTTCATGTTATTTACTGTAGTTACTCTCTTCAAATATGCCTCATTGTATCGCGAAACATTGCCACAATTCTGATAGGAACAATCCACGGAATGCTCGGTTCCATCTGTTGCCAAAAGGTAAGCGTAGGAAGTACGTTCGGAGGCAGTGGCTAGCGAAATGTGGCCGGCCCGAACCGAAAGATCCACAGGCGCATGTATGCAGCGAACATTTCAAGTTTCCGGACGACTACTCTGACAGTATGATAAAACATAACATGGGATTTATTGAACAACCATTACTTAATGGAGATGCAGTACCATCGGTCTTTCTGGTGTCATCACCGACCAGGACACCAGTTCGGCCAGTTGAGAAATCGCCCTCTGCAAGTGTGAAGCGACGGAGGACCAGAAGTAGTGCTCGGAGTAAGAATAAGGTATGTTATAGCGCATTTCCATTGCAGCGGGTAGCCCCGTTTAAACGTCCTTTATCGTCCAGGCCAGGCCAGTCTTTGGTGGCCTTTCCATATAGCGTAGTACCGGCTAGTGGGTATTTCCCCCCAGTTTTTCCGGCCCCATAAAATCGTGGTTCTAGGGCCAGGGACAACGAGGCTGAGTATGCTAAACTAGAGAGGGAATCGCTAGCAAGGGTGGTACTACATGCATACATATCTAGTAATCAAAATCATTGTATCTACTAAGTAGTACTAAGTAGGCTCGAACCTGTATGGCTGAATTCCCCCTTCCAATCTCTTCATATTGCTCAAAACTTCTTCCTCGGCTGACGAGTCCGAACTCAAACACTCCGCCATGTTTTCGTGTGTTTACAAAGTGAACGCATGGATGACGTCACGACCATCACGTGACTACTGAAAATGGCCAAAATGGCAGCGGCCTGACGGAATATACAGGTTTTGATAAAAAAGAGCTATAAAATCATTATTTACCGGGGAATATCGCTGATTTCTTCAGGGTATGGTTTAAACATAATGTTTCACTAAATACTGAAGTTTTGATTAATTATCTAATGAGTGGAGCATTCCTTTAAAGTCACTTCAGGAACTTAGTCATTGCAGCTATTTATCACTTAAAAGCTGACTTATGAGAGGCTAGTTAATGCATTCATGTTAACCAGGTTAGATAACTGTAATGCTTGAGTCCTATCAAACGCAGGCAAAACAAACACACCAAGCTCCCAGTCCAAAAATCCACTTAAAATAATATGTGTAAGCTTGCATGTCTCTGTAGTTTTTGGTCTGTAGGTTTGATGTGTAGTTTGTCAATTCAGGCAACTAATTTACCTAGATCAACATATGCATGTCTTACATTTGCTGCCTAAACAAACTCTTGTCCTCTTATGGATGTATTTATTAGAGCTAAGATAGGCAATTCACTTTAGATGCATTAGTGTTTGTATTCTATTTATTTACATTCCTAAAGAAATCAATAAAGAAATTGCTACTGACAAAAATAAGGAACAATATCCTGTATCTAATGTCTTTCGTTTTTTGTAAAGCACTTTGAATTGCCTTGTGTTGAAAGGTGCTATATAAATAAACTTGCCTTGCCTTGCCTTATCTGTGGCTGTCATAGTCAAATAATAAATATCTCCAATCCTTTTTATCGCTGCATGAATTGATTGAAGTCCTTCCTGCCTGTCTACTCCAAGTGTTGGAGTTTCCCAAATGCTAATAGCATGACAGCTGTTTGAGTACCAACAATAGCCATGTTTGTTCTTTATGCTTGTTAAACAGTGTTAAGTGTTCCCTTACATCTGAATGAGACATGAGGAAGTTGAGTAATGATAGCAATAACAAGCGCTCCATTGAATAAATGGCGAGCGTTCACACACGTTCGCCATTCACACACGTTCGCCATTCCAGCGGGGCGGATGGCTCCGTTTGCCGGGGAGGAGGATGACGAGGACTTCTCGTTGTCGGGCACTTCGTCCACGAAAGTCCACTGCCCAGGTCTGTCCGCCAGGACTTCCCCCTGGTGCTGACCATGGTGGCGGAACATGTAGGGCTACCACTGCCGCCAAAACCGGTGAGCCGCCTCCGCCAGGGGTTCTACGGCCCGGTCCGCCCGGCCCAGCCAGCTTTCATTTCGCCCCCGTTGCCAGATATCTGGCAGTGTGTGGAAGCGCCGTGGCAACAGCCACTGAAGACGAAGGCTCCAGTGGCTGGTATGGTGGGGATCCTCAGGGTGCAGGGCCGCACGGACACAGCGTGTCCCGGCGTGCCCCCCCTTAATGAGAGCCTGGCAGCCCATCTGCTCCCACAGGCAGCAGGATGGGCGGAGGGTAAGAAGCCTCTGCCCCTGCTGCCTCGTGACCAGGGGCGGATCTAGACAAATATTCATGGGGTGGCAAGAGGGTGGCAGGAGATTTTGAGGGGTGGCATCCCCTGATAGAAGTATATGCTGATTTAAATCGCAATCATATCAATCAATTAGGGGTGTAACGGTACACGTACCCGTACTGAAATTATTCGGTACGGGCCCTTCGGTTCGGTACACGTGTGTACCGAACGAATATAGCGTTAAACGTAAAAAATTGAGAACATGAACAACTTTCTGGAAGTAATCTATATCATAGAGCGACCAAGTCATTTAATTGGACGAGAGGCATACTATGAGAGCTGGTCACAGGGATGCGTTCAAATGTAGTCAGTAATTTGAGGAACTGTCGAAATGGCGAACGCAGATAAAGTTGAGCTGAAAATCCTCCAGCATCATTGAAGTCTCCGGTTTGGGAACATTTTGATTTCGCAGTTACGTACAAGGATGACGGACAAAGACAGGTGGACCGAACCAAAGCTGTTTGTCGGCATTGTTCAACTAACATTGGTTACGCGGCTGGCAATACATCAAACTTGCACACTCATTTGAAAAGGCATCACCCGAATGTGAATATCACCGGTACCAAAAGAAAAAAGACTGAAGTGCAAACCCAACTCCCACTAGCATTTAAGCCTCCACCACTCGCAGAGAGTTCAGACCGAGCCAAAGCTATTACAAACGCCAAATATCCTTATGTTGCCATGTTAGCAAAGCGCTACCTGGCTGTATCTGCTACCTCTGTCCCTAGCGAGAGGGTTTTCTCCACATCAGGAGACATTGTTAGTGCCAGCAGATCTGCCCTTTCGGCAAGCAATGTGGACAAGATTATTTCAGTTCATCGAAATGCTGCACCTTAATGTTTATTTTACTATATTTTGTATTTATTTGAATACATTAATCAGTTTAATAATAATTTAAAAAAAATATTTAATGTTTTGTGATAATTTTTTCTGCTGTACCGAAAACGTACCGCACCGAACCGTGACCTAAAAACTGAGGTATGTACCGAACCGAAATGTTTGTGAACCGTTACACCCCTACAATCAATGTTAACTTGGAAAGCCACAATATTAATATTTTAACTCAATCACATAGGTGATATTATTGTGGCACATCAGTAAAGCCTTACATATAAGGTGGCAGACGTAATTTAATGAATTTTAACTGAACAATAACTGAATGAGTTTGTCTCACTCTTAGACCAGCAGGGGTTCCAAATCTATGCAGACTGCTGCAATAAGTACATTAATTAACTGTCTCATCGATGTTTGAATAAACTATATTTTTTGGAGGAGTTAATGATGAATGTTCATCAAGATGCTTGCTCACCCTCCTTCAAATTTGAAAAACAAGTAATTATATCATTATTGATATACAGTTACAACCTTGACTTTACATCAGAAAGAACAAACATTAAAGAAGTGACTAACTGCATCAGTTAGGGTTAAAAAACGTGTATTCAACTAAAACATCGCTGCAGTTATTATCCAGTGGAAGGTCCTTACCTACTGGCCTAGTTAAATCAAAGTGGTTACTTTCTGTTGGCTGGGCAGTGTAGTTTTACACACCGTCTTATTTTACTTTCTCAGGACTTAAAACTGTTTTTTGGGGGCAGACCCCCTCAAAGAAAAACAATATATACACGCATACAAGGTCATCATCTTAACAGTTTGTTATTCTCATCGAGTAATCCGTGAGCAGAGCATCAAGTTGGCATGTCTATTACAGCTGAATGCGGCGATTACTATTTTGTTCAGCAAAACGCCTCACAAACTTATTAAGATCAACAGCTGTAGTGCGTTTTGATTCAATGCTGAGTACAGCCAAACTTGACATTCTCTTCTCTCATTGTAGACCGCAAATACCTCATTCCTTCAGTGCTTGGGTCCGAAAGGCTTCTCGTTTTGCGCCGTCCCCCCGTTCAAGTGAATTCGCCACCAATCATATTTCCACTCTCGCGCCAGGACCGGGGGAGGGGTTACATGACGTGCATATTGTGCTGCATTCACTTGCACTCGGACATTAGAGACTTTCTCTCATAAATGTCCGATGAGCCACAACTTTTCTTTCAAAACAAAGATGCCAACTGGGGTGGCAGCTGGGGTGGCAAGGCTATTGTTTAGGGTGGCAGTTGCCACCCCATGCCACCCCGGTAGATCCGCCCCTGCTCGTGACCGAGAGACGCTGGAATATTTCGATAACATATTCCGGCTCGGAGCTAGGGTTGGGTATCGTTTGAATTTCCACGATTCTGATTCCGATTCCGATTCTACTTATCGATTCCGGTTCTTAACGGTTCTCAATTCCGATTCTTTGAGGGGCAGGGTAAAAAAATGATACATGCTTCTTCCACCAAAAAATTACATTTATTCGAGAAACTTTTACACAGGTTAGTTTACAGTAATATTCACATTAATCAGTCTGTTTATATTCACTGCTATGTAACTGTAACCTGAGAACCACTGAAGCTACAACAGTGCAACAGTCCAACTTTTAAAGGAAACCCCCCCCCATTTAAAAACAGTTCTTGTTGAGAAAAACAAGCATATCTGCCTTCTCAAATGTTTGAACATTTTAAAGTAAAATGCTTCAATCTGGTGCACTTTAAGCAGAATTACTAGAGACTAGATCTAGGGGGTACAACTCTAAACACCCATATGAAAAAGATCGGTTTACATTTTAATAATTAAATAAGTATGTGAACATAACCAATAACCTACCATAGCCAATAACAAATACATGTAACGTGTTTTATTTTTGTTGTTCATTCATATCTTATTTTACTATTTTATTTATGCATATTTGTTTATCTCCAGTTTAAAACGATATGTCTGGTTTACGGTCCTATAGTATACATTGGAATGATTTCAAACCTGTTTTCTCCCAATAATTATAAAGGAGTGCCTTGGAAATATGTGTTTACATAAATTGTGATCAAAACGTTTGAGACCCACTGAGATAACTTAGACTAAAGTGAACACTCAGAGTTCTTTACCTCACTGAGCTGTAGTTATCAGCCTCAGTCTGACTGGAGAGGACTCTCCCTCCACATCATTGTAGAAACATCTTCTTCTTCTGTTAGAGCAGCTAGCACCAGATGCTAATAACAACAGCGCTGGTACTGGTGCACCCTCCCTTTCTCCCTCGCTCGCTCCCACGCTCACTCGCACTTTGGCTGTGAGCTGCGGGCGCCAGATAAGCCAACATCCCCCATTTTCATCACTTACAGCGCCCATCGTACAGGGCAAATGAAAAGTGTAACCGGGATGAAAAGGGTGTTACATTTACTTAATTATGAATGTTGTTACATCAAGGCCGAAAATTAAGATGAGCCCCAACGGTCAAAACTTTTTTTCTCCTCCCAGAGCTGTCAGCGCAGCGCCTCCACAGATCTGGCGCCCTAGGCGAACATGATTACGCTGTAGGAAGTGTAGGTACAACGCTACATTTCCCGCCCCGCCGCAGTCATACAGTAGGCTACGGATAGCTGTGAGAAACATTTCCTCAGGCATCGAAAAGCAGAACCGAAATTCACATTTCTAAATGATGCCGTTGGAATCGAAATGTTGGAACCGGTTCCGAACCGGAACCGGTTCTCGGTACCCAACCCTACTCGGAGCACAGATGGCGGCAGCGGCGAATAATCTGGGTGTGTTGAGCGTGTCGCTGATTACTCCTCAGCAGGACGCCCCCGCCTCTCCATCTCAGGATTGGAGTGGTTATTTGGACCACAGCATCGGGCAGATGAATCATCTGATTCATGGTGTGGCCGCCGCAGCTGGCCGTGTAATGTCCCTGGCCACAGTGGGATCACGCCACGTCTGGCTGGGACTCACGGCTCTCTCCAGGAAGGACCGTGATGATCTCCGAGGGGCCCCCGTATCAACGGAGGGGCTCTTTGGATCAGACGCTTGGAGGAAGAAAAGTCGCAGTTTAGCTGTATAGAGGAGAGTCACGGTGAAAAGGAGGGAAAGGTGCCGATTTAGAGCACCCATGGCTCCCGCTGCTCCTTCTTCCTCCTCGGCTGGTCCTGCGGAACCGGCTCAATACCGGCACCCGCGGGGACAGGCTGCGCGATCCCGACAGGCCTCTGCTCCGGCTCCGCGCCGACAGAGAGCTTCGGGGTGGGGTGGGCCGTCCTCCCGGATATGATGGGCTGTGGGAGGAAGCGTCCCGGCGGCAAGAGCTGTGTGCCTCACCACCCAAGACGCGAGAGCTAGTCATTTCTCTCCACAATTCCACATTTCCCCATAATGTCTCTTTGAATTCGGCAAGCTCCGTTTCATACGATGTTAACTGGGCACCCATTATGAGACACGGTTCCCCACTCGCCGCCCCCGTTGTAACTCCAGTAAACGAGGCAGCCGGTGGGCGGGCGCATGTGAGTGTGATAAACCGCAGGAAGTGCCGTCAAAGCACTATGCGGGTGCAGGGACATTATAGCCGGCGTGTTGTTGTCAGAAAACACACCTCGCCTAGTGTGATAGCTCCGATTATTGCATTTCACCGTCAGTGTGGCCACGGCATTATGACGGAGCGCGCGGCCCCGCGAGAGCTGGCCGCTCAGCTACTCCCTGTTCCCACGCATGTTCAGCAAATGTGTGACCACAGTGCTTTAGCCGCTTCGCGACCATGGCATGAGGGTTTTATTTTATCTCAACGACCTCATAGTCATGGCCAGCTCCAGGGAATGTGTGGATGTTCCACACAGCCCAATTGATCTTACACCTAACCAAGTTGGGGATTTGTTGTCAATTGGAAGAAGAGCAGTCCCATACCACACCAGCAGCTGGGGTATATGGGGATTTTGCTCAATGCAGCCCCCATTGAGAGCGAGGGGTACGCCCCCATAGAGAGCGAGGTGTACGCCCCATCGAGAAGGAGGCAGGCTACGTGCCACTCTGTCAGAGGACAGACAGACGTGGTGTGAGGAAGGGAGTCTAGAGCTTATGTCCGTTACATTGGGCTCTATTCTATCCTAGCTATAGCTACTGGTGGACAAGGGGCAT